AAGGTCATTAAGATAAGATGGGGCCTGATTATTTAAGACCTTGTATGTGAGGAGCAGGATTTTGAATTCAATTCTGGATTACTTTCATTACATTACTTCCAGTAACACTTCCACCACTTTGTCAGTTGTCATTGTTGTCGTTGCTGTTGTATCTTAGCCACTATTGTAAACTCTGTGTAGGATACCTGCATGTTCATGTCAGGTAGATGTAAAGTATTAGGTGGTCGTTTACACGCTTGTTTGACAAATGTCGCTCTGGGAGAAGAGACGGATCCGTTTGGCAGTCCTTTGTTTATAAGGAAAAGTAGCTTCATGTATGTTAGAATATTACAGCCTTTTTGGAAGATATTTTTTTTGTCCACAGCCAAAGCAGTACAGTGGTTACGACTATGTTTTACATAATGAAGGGTCACAGTTTAAAGTTTTGTTTGGATCGTTTCTCTGAGAGCTTTTGAAGGCGTTTTCCTCCTACGGTGAACACGAGGAAAATCAACTGAGTGAAATGAAACGGTTTAATTTACTCATTGGGGACATGGTGCTCGATTCTCCTCATTGGTCTCTTAAATGTTGCCAAGGCGAGTTGTGTTGATTAGTATTTTTGTTTTTATAAAAAAGCCTTCAGGCCAAACACTAATACATAACAAAAACCTATTCAGATGATTTTCTCTCTGCTTTGAGGTGGAAGCTGCTGCTGCCTGAAGCTCTGACTGTTGGTTTAGTGTTTTGTGTGCGACTTCTGAATATGTGGGTGGGCTTAAACTCCTGAACGAGAAACAGTCGAGCAGGTCAAAAGCTGTGGATTTACTCAGCAGGGATTACTCTGACTTGACTCAGTGTTTCTGGATGGGAAATAGAGCTCTTACAATAAACTGCAGTTTTAAACTGCTTGGCGCTGTTTTACTTTAGGTACTCGTGTGTAGGGCTGTGCGATATGACCAGAATCTCATATCCCGATATAAGACATCTATCGTCCCGATAACGATATAAATCACAAAAATGTAACATTTTCTGTAAAGTCTGTGACTCTCGGGCAGCTCGACTTGCGTGAAGTGTTTCCAGCTGCGCGTCGTGTTGCTGGAGTCGAGTGTTTTAACGATGCATGAAACGACACATTTTTAGACATAAGTTGTAATGGCACCGTTTTCTTTGTGAGTATTTATTACACGGCGTGCTGCAGGGAAAAGCCTGTTCTAACGTTTGAGTCTAAGCTTTATTTTTTAGCACCTGGCGTCTTTTTTACTTCTCATCCGTAAATAATCTGCTTTTACGTGATTCAGTTTATTTTGAAAAGTCTCAAAAGGATCTTGAGCTTTATTGTGAAAGGTTTATGTGGAACATAACCAAGCGGACACGCGATGCTGTTAGGGTCGTTGTTGCTAACGACAACGCATAAAAACAGGCGCTTGTCTGTCAGTAGTGTGGTTATATAAAATATAAGAGAAAGAGAGAACTTTAAGAAATTAATAATAACTACAGTGACCAGAAAAACCATGAAAAAATATTGACGTAAACAGTTTATTTTGAGACACCACGAAACAAACGATAGCGTAAAATGAAACGATAGACGTTTTTATATCGTCATCAGATATATATCGTTATATCGAACAGCCCTACTGTGTGTAAATAGGTGATGATGATGATGAAGAATAACGGTAACACTGCTAAAACACATGATCATATCTTCTGCTCTCAGCACATTAATTTGCCAAAATAAACTGAACGCAATGAACAAAGTCATTGATTTTGACTGTTAGCATAAATAAATATTCTAATAACAACAGTTTGATTAAAGGCTGCATGTGTTTTAGTCATTACATTTTTTTCTGGTTCTGCCAGAGGTTTCTTCCTGTTTTTCCTGCCCACTGTTGCCAGGTGTTCATATGAGGGGTCATGTGATTGTTGGGGTTTCTTTCTAATACGGTGTAGGGGCTTCACCTCACAGTGTAGCGCCTTGAGGTGACTGCTGTTGAGAATCGACGCTCTCTAAATTAATAAAATATTTATAAAACAACAAAATAAATACGTATAAATAAAATTGAATTGTTTTCTTTTAAACAAGTAAATATAAATAAAAGAATACAGAACAAAAAACATAAATGAATGAATAACAATTCATGTTATTTAAAATTTCAAAATGATTTCATCTGAAGGCTTTGTCATCTCTCCTGCACAGTTCACAAGAATCTCTCCTCCGACGAGAGTGTTCGTCAGATTTTAGTGAAACAACAAGATTAGTTTGTCCTTGACTCTTAGTCTGTAAAGTCAGGAAACTGATGGGAACAAGACTTTACATTAGAGTAACCTTTGAACCGTATCAGACGAGCGCGTTGATGTTTCGGGTTAAAATGTCCAAATGGACAGAAGCTGTGTTTGCCTGAGAGTTTCATGGACTATCTCAGTACCACAAACTCATCCCTTTGTTAAAAGAAAGAAAGTTAGTGTGCAGTTAGTGTGTACTCATATTTAATGAAACCTCTGTAGGGGATGCTTATCTCTAAACTTGCTTTACTCTAATTGGAGATAATTTATCTGAATTTCAGGAGCACATGTCACTCCATCCTCTGCTCTCTTTTAATAAATGTAGGTGAAGATTAGAGCTGATGCAGCTTTTAAGTACATTATATTGACTAAAAACAGTCATTTTGAGCTTTGTGTTAAAAAAGCTCTTCAGTCTGACTGCAGAGGATCAGCAGATTAGCAGAAGAGTGGAATTAACCGAACACAGTGAGATTGTTTCCTGTTCTTTCCTCTTTATTCTCAGCGTGATATAACGGCTGAATCTGTTTGCTCACAGGGCCGTCTGGCTGGAGTTGGAGGAGAGGACCTCCCCACCATCGTGGTGGTGGCTCATTACGACTCCTTTGGTGTTGCTCCGGTATGCTTCTTTTTTCCTAACTCGGTCATGACTGACAACTTGGACACAGTCAGGGGGTTTGTCAGTAAATATCTGCAGGATCTGCTGAAGTAGGAGAGGTTATATTTGTGGAGAGTTGGGCAAAAAAGAGAAAATAGGGCAGCAAAGTAATCAGCCTGTGCTCTGTCGTGTAGTGGCTGTCATACGGAGCAGACTCAAACGGCAGCGGAGTGTCCATGTTACTGGAACTGGCCCGACTCTTCTCCAAACTCTACACCTACAAGAGGACGCACGCCGCGTGAGTAACAACGATCACGTTACGATGTTTCTGATCATTTGTGTCTCAGGTAGCACCGTGGTGCGATGTCTTTAAGCTAGACGTCGCACTGAAGGTCTGTTCTGCCCCTGAACTCGAGTGACATTCGTAATCCATAGGGTTTAATATGATGTCAGCTGTAACAGCTTCCGCTCTTCTGGGAAAGCTTTCACGGGGTTTAAGAGTTTTGTCGAAAAAATCCCTGAAACCATTCTTTCAGAAGCATTTTTGTGAGGTCAGACACTGATGTTGGCTCCGCTCGAATTCATCCCAAAGGTGTTCTGTCGGGTTGAGGTCAGGACTCTGTGCAGTCGTGTTCTTCCACAGCACGTTCGCTCATCTGTATCTTTGTGCACTGGTGTGCAGTCATGTTGGAACAGGAAGGGGTCGTCCCCGAACTGTTTCCACAAAGTTGGGAGCATGAAATGGTCCAAAATATGCTGAAGCATTAAGAATTCCTTTCACAGGAACTTCTCGCCCTTTATGTAAGATGTGAGAAGCTAAAAACGACGACCCCACACCATAATCCCCCTCCACCAAACTTGACACAATGCAGTCACCGTTCTCTTGGCAACCGTAAAATCCAGACTCGTCCATCGAATTGTGCGATTGGTCACTCCAGAGAACAAGCGTCCGCTGCTCCAGAGTCCAGTGGTGGTTTGCTTCACGCCAACACTTTGCATTGTGCTTGGTGATGAAAAGTAAGATGATTGAGCTGCGTCATTTCAGTCTGCCGTTTATTTACTTTGTGGCAAAATGTGGAGGAAAAGTGCCGAGTTTTATCTGGAGCTTGTATCACTGATATTAATCTTTAATAACTGTCAAAATTGAGAGGAAACCAAAACCACTGCTGCACGATGCTCTCCGCCGTCTTAGTTGAATTGGTCACATGACTGCATCAAATGACTAAAATGCGCGATGGCTTTTGAAAGCCTCCGTTTACGCTGTCCACACTGCGACGCGAAACCGGCGCTTTCCAATTTATCCACTTTGAAGAGCGTTTTCAAAAAACGCCGTCTTAGTGTGGCTGGAAGGCCAAAACGGAGAGAAGAAGACGGGTTTTCAAAAACATCTCAGTGTGGACGTCTGCGCTCGATGATTGTTGTTCCAAATCACTTCAGCTGTCACGGTGCAACGCTGGAGTTCACTGAGATCCTGAGAGCAACTCCTCCTTCCACACGTTTGTAGGAGCGGTCTGCATGACTTTATACACCTGTGGCCATGAAAGTGATGTGAACGCCTGAGTTCAGTGACTTAGATGGGTCAGTGAATACATCTGCAGTGTATATGAGAAAACAGACGTAGCATTGATTGCTGACCTCAGTAGTTCATGTGAACATAAGCCAGAGTGTGTTTGTTACGTCTGTCTCATTTGTTATGGTCAGGCTGCTTCTTGAGGACTGTATTGAATTATCTTTGCACTCGGCTGAGCTAACGAGCACATCTGACCGTGTTAAACACTCAGAGCGGTCACTAATATCCTGATACGGTGTGTCTGAAAGTACTTAACAGCAGAGGAAGTGAAAGAAATCACTTGTTAAAGACTGCGAAAGTCGACTTTACCATAAGTGCATCGTTGGCACTGCTGTAGGCCTTATATAAGATGATGTAGTAAGTGATGGCATCCGTCAATGGTTTTTAATTGGAGCTGAACTGAAGAGATTGGCTTCATCATCATTTTTTCTCTGCTGGAGCCAAGTGTGATCAAATATGGGAAGCTGTGTTATTACACAACAACCAAATCAAACCGATGTGACTGCAGGGCTGCGCTTAGCTCCAACTAAACTCCATCAGATGCTTATTTACAGTAAAAGAGATGTGCTGAGCATCTCGCTTCAGCTGATTGATAATGCCTCCTCAAAGTAATCTACACAAACACAGTACATTTTATAGATTTGAATTTAAGGACCCTCCTGACATTGGAAACGAGCGGGCCTTTGTGAAGGTGACACATGACTGGTAATCTGTGTCGTCTTGTTTTATTGAAAATCTGTGAATTTCTCTGTTATTTTGACTCTTTGTTGAACGACCACGAGCACTCAGGAGATTTAGATTTGATCGAATGTTATTTCTATAGCCCTGAATCACAACAACAGTTGCCTCACGGCGCTTCATAACAATCAAATTACCCACTTTGAACAATCACTCGGCAACAATGGAAAAGAAACAGGAAGAAACCTTCGGCTCGGGGAGGGACGCACAGACATGCAGTGGAGGAGAGATTGATTTAGTTTGTTTGTTGTTATTTGTGTTTCTTCCACTTTAGCCTCAATTTCAAGTTGTGGTCGTTGCATTTTAGATAAAACTCGTTGGACATTTGCGTCATTTTAGAAAAACCTTGTTTTTTATTTTCCATAGGCGCCATGATTACAGGCTGCATCATTTAAACACCACATTCTGTCTGAGTGTTGCTGACCATGTGTTTACAACCGCAGTGATGGCTGCTTCCAGCAGACGCCATGTTTCAAAGCTTAAAAGTGTGCTTAGAAGACGCCGCCCACACCATCACATCACCACCAATTACACAAAGCAGGGCAGATCCATCTTTCATGTCACATCAGCTTGAAGCATTTTAGACATTCTCCTCTGGCTCCCATCTCTGGTTGGATTGATTTGTTGCCATGTGATTGGCTGTCTAGATGTTTGCAGTGAGTGTATATACCAACTAGGGCTGCCACAAACGATTATTTTGATAGTCGACTAGTCAC